TTTCTAAACAACAAAGTAGCCTTATAGAGGCAAAAAGGCGCTCGTTAGACTTATTCAGTAAAAATGTTTTATGTTAGGAGTTAATGCGGGCAGAGTTAGGTGGAATCAGGTGGGCGCGAAGATCGACGCATTTAATCGCTTCTCTCTAGGATCTATACGCCTCAGACGCCTCTATTGATCGTTAATGGCTTAATGTCTAGCTAAGGCATCCTGTTGTTCTAGACTGCACAGCTCGAGACAGTATAGCTCAAGAACAGGGGGCACAGGACGAAGGCACACCTAAGAAGCTCGGGAAATATACACCTTGAGACAGTACAACTCGAGCACAGGGGGCAAGGGAGGAAAATACATGTGAGCATCTAGGCCGATCGATTTACCCACAAGCTATAAAACAAAATTTAGAAACTTGCAAGGGGAATATGAAACATCCAACAACATATAGAAGAAAGCTTAAGAAATTTTCATTCCAACAATAGAAAAAGTTTACAAATAAGCATATGTGTAACAAGTACAAGGAAGAAAAAGGAAAAATGAGCAAAGAGCCTCAAGCCTTCGAGGAGGACAGATTAGCATCACCACCTCCAAAGAAGCCTACAGGAGAAGGAGGAATCGAGGCTAAAATTGGTCAAGGCCAAGGTTAGGGAACTTCTCGAGGGCTTGCTCTTCAAAGTTGAAAAATCCATCTACGAAGGCTTTGGTAGCTTCCTTTTTTGCCCTCTAAATCTCTTTTCTCTACTTGTCGACCAATTATCGCTCCAAGCTTAGGGAGTCCTCTATGTCGGCAATGACTGCACGATGCTCAGCTAGCTGGGCTGTTAGATCCATGTTGTCAGTTTGAGAGTTGACCAGCTTATCTAATTGCTAACTCAGCCTGTCTCACAAATAGATCTCTGAAGTAGTGGGAGCAATCAACTGCCAGAAGACCTAAGCTCTCTGCTCGAGTGTTGCCTCCAGCTCAGCCTCTAGTCTTAAGCCCCAGTGTAGCAGTTCGGCAAGCCTTGCCTCCCTCTTGTTAGCCTCCACCTTCAAATGATGAATCTCCTCGCCGAACATACAGACATGCGTCACAACTTGAAACCAAGTTAAGATTATAAACACTTGCACAATTAAGACCAAAGAAGGAAAAAATGAAAAATCCCACCTCAAGAAGAGCATGCAAGGAATCTCGTGATCTCACCCTGAAAGATTGGTTGACAGAGCCGCGAAGGTTAACTTGAGGGATTAGCATGAAAACTCAACTACCTCTGGCCACGTCGTCCAAAAGACTCGCCCTAGGGCCGCTAACCATAACTGGCTTGGGATGCCTCGAGCTAGAGCCTTCCACACCCCTAAGAAGAGACCCATGTTGAATTGGTTCCACCTCGGGATTAATAGACACTGCTTCGGCTGTGATTTCCCCATTTGTCGGTGGAATCGAGGGCATAACAGGAGGACTCGACGCGGGGCTATCCTTGGAGACCCTCGTCCTCTTCGTAGGGGACCCTAGGGCTTGTGTTGTTCTTCTTTCACCCACTTGCTCCACAATTACATCCCTCTCACTGACCAGGTATGTAGGGACTGAAAAAGCAAGACAATCAAAGGAAAAGATCAGGAAGATTTGTTAAAGACAAGGCAGTCAAACATTATAGGGATACTGGGCACCTGCGGCTTGGGATGTTAGACTGGTCAGGACCCATTAGCTCTACAGAAGAGAAGGGTAGTCAAGCCCTAGCCTGATCAAACCGAGATCGTGCGTCTCCAATTAAGCTCGAGTATTCACCTACAAAAATAAAGAGAGAAAGAAACAAAGTTAGAGCCCTAAGAGCAAAAGATGAGAAACTCTAATTACCTGTAAATTCCGATCCTACCGTACCCTACTCTATCCGACCTTACTGATTGGCTATCCGAAAGAATCGGATAGGCCAAGGAAAGATCTTTTGGTATTCAACAAAAAATTGGGTAGGAATGCAGAATAACTACAAAATTAAAATCTAAAAATCTAGAAACTCTAATGTTTTATTAATGTTTATAGCTTTCTTATATATAATGTATTTGATATTTATGATTTTCTTGTTGTGTTTTATTGTAATTGTTTATGTATTATCGAATTTATTGTGTTTTCTTTAATGTTATTGGTTTATTGTGTTAGTTAATTAGTGCAAGTTATTTAATTAAATTGTTAAAATAATTCAAATATAAAAAACTAAAAAATATGTGTTCACCTGATTTTCTACCTGATTGTTTTGGACGAAATTCGAGCAAGAATAGTAAATTTGATCATGTAGGGTAGGCCAAGAAAAAAAATTTCTACAGAGTATCAGGTAGGAAGATGAAAATATCATAATTCCTACCCATAGGATAGGGTGAACACCTCTAGTTAGCAATACCACAACAACATATAATCCAACCAAATAGACACAAAATATAGTCCAACAATATATTCCAAAATCTAAAATAAAATTCAATCCAACCAAGTTAAGAATACCTTTGATAAATAGTGTATTCAATCTAAAGCAAGCTCAATGTCAATGAATTTTTGACAACACGGTAAGAAAGATATACAAAAAAGAAAAATAACTTATAAAAAGTGATGTCAGATATGTTGCATCGCATATCTATTGGTTTCTTAGTGTTAATTTCTAATGAAATCGAACACCATCTGTTCGCAGGAGTTTTCTGCTCTTGTTCATGGCCCTTTCACTTTTCACCAAATGGGTGTTCATTTTCTAAATATTTGTTGATAAATCTACTCAGAAGGATGTCTAGTTTGAATATGGAATACCATTACAACCAAGTACCATTTTTTGTGAAAATAAATCAATCACATAAAAAATGATCCATTGCAAATAACATGAAAAAAAATAATTTTTTATAGAAAGTCAAATGTTCCAATGTAGCATGTTTCTCAAATCTAATCATATTAGCATCCTACTTCTCATGGCAGTTTAATTCTAATGTGCTATGATTCTTTCTCTTCTGTAACAATAAGATAGAGAGAAAGAGGCATGAACAGTCAGTGTAAAACTATTATGGGTCTATATCTATATCTATATTATCTATACTACTTTAAAAAGTACCTATCTTGGAAAAAATTTGTTTTCCTCTTTTATCCTTTAACATTTCTTAATTATCTAAACAACCATGAGTATATTTATATCTATACTACTCCTAAAAGTGGGTTGACTCAAAAAACATTTGATTTTTATTTTTACCCTTAAGAACCCTACAATAGCTAACTAGACTTGTGTCTCCCCAAATTCCAAAACATGCAGAACTGGTCTTCACACTGCCCTGTCCCTTCCTTTTCCCCTACTCTTGTAACTCATTTAATTTTTAGACTCAACATTTACTTAATTGATTTAAGTTTGAGACCCTATAGCTACCATAACTGACTTAAACTAAAACCCTTTAGACTCTACAGATTCTTAGAGTAATTAACTAAGCTTATATTAACCTTTAGAATTTGATTCCTATCAAAAACCATTTGTTTTGGCCTCGTTAACTCAAAATTTGCCCCTAATACCTGGACTTGGTTCATGTTTGAGGGGAGAGAGAAAGAGAGAGCAGTGAAGGTAGTAATTATTTCTATGCTTTGACATTTCATTTCAATCCCAAAGTATCTTCCTTTCATTGGTGACTTTCACTTTCTGTAGTGCTTTGATCGTTTTAGAAATTATTTGATTGGTTGTATTTTTGCTATATTTTTTTGGGAAGTAAGGAACAATGAATCATATTCAAATATTCCTATGAGGCGATGACTCAATTTCCTATCAATAAGTATGTGGATTCATCAGGCTCATTGAAGCTAAAAAGGCCGGTGCCGTTTGCTTGGGCACAAATATAGATGATTAATTGGGTAACAAATGGAGCAGTGCTTGACAAAATTCCTTGCTAGTCTTTAACCCTTAAATACTACCCCTAAAATGTGTATGACTTATAGGACTAGGGAAATATCACTCTCCCTTGGGATAGTGTCAAAAGAAAGGGCAATGAGTAAGGAAAATGAGATGGTAGAAATATGAAATGTGTATACACAAAAAATGTGTGTGTGTGTGTACAAAAGTGCTCCCTAAGCGCAAGGAGACTTTCGCGGGTCATGTTTTACTTGGTGGTATTCCAAGGTCGTTTCCACGGGGAAGAAAGTAAACCGAAGGGAAGGTGATTTTGGGAAACAAAAAAGTGTAAAATCTTTGATTGTTGAAAGTTGTTTGATGGAGTTTGTTTTGATGCTAATGAAATGAGAAATAAATGTTGGCAAATCCAAGAGGTCACTCCAATAGGAATATCATCTCAACTCGAAACCCTCCTCTAATAGAGTATGAATGAACAATTGATTCGTGGGAAGTTAGGGATAATATTAGTGAGTATCAAAACATAAATCGTGACTAGGCCTACAGAATATCAAAGACTCACCAATTTATCCACCCTCAACCCAATCAAACCGAACCATTGAACTCTGAAAGAAGGGATGAAAATAACTTGAAATGGTATTCTNCTTCTTAGAATATCAAGCAGCTCGGCTAATCACAAGCTTTTCAGCCCTTCAAAGAGTTCTTCAACTCTCAAGGGTGCAAGCTCCTCAGCCGCCTAACCTTGAGTAGGCTTTTTAGCCTAAGAGCTTTTCGGCTCGGCAAATCACAAGCTTTTCAGCATTCAAAAAGTTCTTTAACACTCAACTAGGCTCTTCATCCTAAGAGTTTTTCAGCTCGGTTGATCATAGGTTTTTCATCCTTCAAAGAGTTCTTTAACTCTCAAGGCGCGAGCTCTTCAGTCGTGCCACCTCGACTAGACTTTTTAGCTTAAGAGCTATGTAGCTTAGTCGCACAAGCATTAGTTACCAAATCAAAGGCTCCAAAAATATATATATGTAACAATAATGACGGTAGAAAAGCAGAAAGACCACATCACATTAACAAGTGGCCAGAAAATTTGATTATAGGAAACAAAAGAGAGAGTTCAAGATCTTGCGTCCTCCTCTTCAACTCTAAAAACTCCCCCAACCGAGGATTCTCCATCTTTAGCTAGTCCCGCTCTTTCTCGGCATGGAACAACTGCCTCTTCAGTATGGTCTTCCCAAACTCCATCTCCAGCTCAGCAACCGTTAACCTCATCTCACTAGATGAAGAGTCCGAGAAATGTGTCGCAAAAGACCCTTGGGACCTCTTCCTCTTCCTTCTTGATGAGGTAATAGTATCTTCTTCAAGACCCGCTGGAGAAGGATCCTCATTGTTGACAGGGGGAGGGGCGATTGAGGTAGTAACTGGGATGACAGCTGGATCAGGGCCAAGACCAAACTTGAAAAGGTTTTGAGCTGTGACCAGTGTGGATAAAGAAACTGCATCATCTCAGCTAAGCTGGCAGACTCTTGAGATCTCGTCAGGGGTCAGCCCAGGATCACCTGTATCAACATGAAAAATCGTTAGCCTCAAAAGGGGTGGTGCCAGACAGGGGTGCCTTATCAACTCTGAAAGATAAACCATTTTCTTACCTATGTCCAGGATGCATCCCCAATAGTGAGGAACTTGAGAACAAACCGTGCGTGTTTCACTGGACTTCTAGGAGTCACCAAAAATAAAGAAAAAATGCTGCGACCACCCCTCAAAGGAGCCAGGAACATTGAGCACCAATACGGGAGCCTAAAACTTCCAAGTGAACCGGTAGCAACAAGGAAGGAAAGAAGTCATCGAATTGAAAGAAGTAAAGGAACTCAAATGGTGGGGATATAGTCATAACCGTGCATACGCTAGAAAAAAACTCATAAGGGTGCCCCATTTCTTTAGTGAAAGACGTGAGGGACAGAGCGCAAAGAAGGCTAGAATCCGCCCTATAGATGAATGAATGGGTAGACAAAGCCCCAACTCAAACACACTTTCAAAAAAGCAAACCTCTCTCCAAAGAAGAAGGTTGCAAAGCTCGTCAAGCGTGGGAATTTAAATGGTCAAGCCTGTAGGAAAAAAGTATCGCATCTTGACTTCCTCCATATCAGGTTTTGTAACATTGCTAGGGAACAAAAAGACCGCATATCCTGGAACGTCANCCCCCCCCCCCCCAAAAAAAAAAAAACGTGCTTGGAGTTCCCTCTCAGCTAATTGATGTGATTTTCATCCATAGGGGCTGCCTGATGCAGACTAGGACCAGCCCCCATTCTACTCCCTGCCAAAGCTTCTTCTCTCTCCCCTCATTAATGCAAAAGTCATCATAGTCCAAGTAAAGGTGAGGGGAGGCTCCTAGACGTGCAGAGGATGTCACGGGGGTCTGTTGGAGAAGTGCAAGTGGGGCCCCCAAACTACAGAGTTGAGTTACAAGCTGTCTNCTTAATGTCTAGCTAAGGCATCCTGTTGTTCTAGACTGCACAGCTCGAGACAGTATAGCTCAAGAACAGGGGGCACAGGACGAAGGCACACCTAAGAAGCTCGGGAAATATACACCTTGAGACAGTACAACTCGAGCACAAGGGGCAAGGGAGGAAAATACATGTGAGCATCTAGGCCGATCGATTTACCCACAAGCTATAAAAAAAAATTTAGAAACTTGCAAGGGGAATATGAAACATCCAACAACATATAGAAGAAAGCTTAAGAAATTTTCATTCCAACAGTAGAAAAAGTTTACAAATAAGCATATGTGTAACAAGTACAAGGAAGAAAAAGGAAAAATGAGCAAAGAGCCTCAAGCCTTCGAGGAGGACAGATTAGCATCACCACCTCCAAAGAAGCCTACAGGAGAAGGAGGAATCGAGGCTAAAATTGGTCAAGGCCAAGGTTAGGGAACTTCTCGAGGGCTTGCTCTTCAAAGTTGAAAAATCCATCTACGAAGGCTTTGGTAGATTCCTTTTTTGCCCTCTAAATCTCTTTTCTCTACTTGTCGACCAATTATCGCTCCAAGCTTAGGGAGTCCTCTATGTCGGCAATGACTGCACGATGCTCAGCTAGCTGGGCTGTTAGATCCATGTTGTCAGTTTGAGAGTTGACCAGCTTATCTAATTGCTAACTCAGCCTGTCTCACAAATAGATCTCTGAAGTAGTGGGAGCAATCAACTGCCAGAAGACCTAAGCTCTCTGCTCGAGTGTTGCCTCCAGCTCAGCCTCTAGTCTTAAGCCCCAGTGTAGCAGTTCGGCAAGCCTTGCCTCCCTCTTGTTAGCCTCCACCTTCAAATGATGAATCTCCTCGCCGAACATACAGACATGCGTCACAACTTGAAACCAAGTTAAGATTATAAACACTTGCACAATTAAGACCAAAGAAGGAAAAAATGAAAAATCCCACCTCAAGAAGAGCATGCAAGGAATCTCGTGATCTCACC